CCTAAAGGCAAGGCTCACAAGTTGGAAGATCTTTTACAGTTAGAAAATCCAAAGGACAATTCTGTACCAATCACTTGTGATATGTTCTATATTGATATGGCCAAGTCGGTGCCACAGGCACGTGGGATTAACCATATCATGTGTTCTTTTCTTGGTGATAATTTCTGATGTAGTTTCGGTTATGTTCATTTCTAGAGAAGGACTGAGGACATAGAGACCATTCTCAAGTTTTCCATAGGTAAGGAATTTGTTATTCAATTTAATAGTAATCTTATCACTAAATAAAATAGAATAACCATCTTTACACAATTTTGAAACTGAAATCAAATTTCTTCTTAGTAACAGTACATAAAGACAATCTTTAAGAGTTATAATTCATCATTTGAAAATTAAATCTACAATTCCTATAGCTGTAGTTACAACTGTTGTAGAAGTCCCCAAGTAAAGAACCATCTCGTCGTCATTCAGTCTTCTACTTTCTTTGAACCCCTGCAATGTATTACATGCATGAGTAGAAACCTCGGAGTCAATACACCAGGATGCAGAAGTGACCAACAAATTGGTCTCTATGACAAGAGATCCGAAATTACCTTCTTTGTTCTTGGATTCCAGATATTGAGGACAATTCCTCTTTCAGTGTCCGATCTGCTTGCAGAAGTGATACTCATTAGATGATTTGTCTTTCTTCTGCCTTTTTGGCTTGCCTGCTTTCTTTTGAGGCCTCTTCTTGCCCTTCCATTTCCTTTTGCCAGATTTGCCACCTTCAACAAGCATGGCCATCGACTTGTCCTTCTTAATCAGTTTACCCTTTGCAACATATCGCTGAGTTCCTGAAGGCTAACCTTATAGCTTGTTCATGTTGTAATTCATGACAAATTGATTGAAGGAGGGAGGTAGAGAGTTTAGACGACATCATATTTGGTGTCATCATCGAGCTGGGATCCAAGAGCCTCCAGTTTGTTAATATACACCATCATCCGCATGACATGGTCATGGACCGACTAGCTCTTGGTCATCCTCGTGGTCATAATAGCTTGAGGACCTTCTGTTGGATAGAACGATTTTGCTCCTCATACATAGTCTTTAGACTATCCAAATGTTTTTAAAGACTTTGATCTTATCGAATTGTCTTTGGATAGCATTATTTAAAGATGCTACAACGTAACACTGGGCAAGAGAATTCTTCTCTTCCCATTCTTGATATTCCCTCCTACGTGCCTCAGAAGCCCTGTCACCCGGACGTTTTAGAGCTGGGTTCTTGGCAACCTTGTCCAATTTCTTGGACGTAAGGACCAGATTAAGGTTATGGTTCCAGTCAACATAGTTAGGTCCCTTAAGTTTGTTGTCGTCCAACAATTTGGCGAATTGTCTGTGTGCCATTTCTGATAAAAGGCAATAGATATTAGTCCACTACCTAAAATTGTTTCATGTTATCTTACATAGAATGGTCTTTTATCTATGTTCCATTCCATTTTATTCATCTTTGAGATTTCACTCCTATCTCAGTGACAAGGACACGATGCATGTCCTTTGAAATGTGGGAAATCACATAGGTGCATGGAGCCAACTGTTTCAGCTACAAAACCCCACCACTTTCTGTGATGGATCATATCCACCCATCCAATGAGTTTTCCCTTTGGCTTCCATCAGACAAGGTTCATTGCCATTTTAGGTTAAACCTTTCTGTCTGGTAAGTGCTGACCCGTCATATCATGGACCCCAAGGTACCATGAAAGAGTTCTATTTTAGGATAGACCTCTCCCACCTCGGTCTATGATGTCCCTATCATCTCATGAAGCAAGCCCACCGACTGGACCAACAAAATGGATAACCTAATTTTATGGTGCATCTCCACCCACCGATTCAGCCCGCTTTCATGCTAATGACGAAAGGCCTTTAGAGAATTTATCATATGAAATTCCCTATCTCTTTGCACTTATATTAATTCAGAGGAAACAAGCAAAACAATCCCTTGTCTGATTTAGGTCATATCAAAGTGGCTCCCACTGACTTTCATAAAGTCAGATTCAGATGGGCCCAAAACGGGCTAGGGTTCCGCGGGGTTCCTCTTGGGGAGGAAGCTGATCAAGGGCCCATCGAAAAGGGGAGATCATCCAATGATCTATGGGCACCATGGCAATGATGTGCATTTAGCCATGGTGTTCGCATAGAGCCACATACAATTAAACATGGGCCAAGCACTTATGGCCCATGGACGAATCACATTCAGCACATCACAAGCACAAGCACAACCACAAATTGATCCAATCAATCAAAAGACTTGTAAAACCCTAATTAATTTAAGTTAACACACAATCAGCCCATTAAAGGCCCAAAATTATCCAATAATTTCATCTTGGTTTATGGGCTAAACTACAAAAAGTAGTTTGGCCCACATAGTAGTTGTGCTGAAATGGGCTGATGTTGCTTTAACTTAACATAAATTGGGTTCTTAAGGGGGGGCTGAATTGGTCCACGTGATGGGCCATCAAACTCTTGGCCCAAATCATGTTAGATGAAGGAAGGGGAAAACCATCATATGGATAGCCAAACCATGTTAGATGGCTGGGCGAAATTTCAAAAATTTTCTTTTACCCTTTCGGAAATCGTATTGCCAATTTTAGAAAAACTACTTTTTCTAGGATCGTTCTTGCACCGAAACCAGACCAGATTTGAAACCAACAGAAAATGGAGAAATATACCTGGTACGGATTCCACAAATGTAGCTCCCAAAGTAGTAGTTTACACCCAAAGAGAGTACCAAAACCAGCTTCCACTGAAGATGCACAGCTTGAATTGAAGCCGGTTCAACAACACAATTTTCAGCAAAACTGTGATCCATCACCTTGGGTCGAACAAGGGAGGTGAGCACGAATTCTTTCTGATATTTTCTTGCAAAATATCAGAAATCAAGACTGATCAAGATTAACCACAAGGTGGAGAACGAACTAGGGTTTCTGGGGCGGCAAGAGCAGAGTGATCTGGAGCAGATTTCAATCTCCTCTTTCTTTAGCCTTAAGGATCACCACTCCTAATCGAATTAGGAGGTTCCTAATCCAAATCTTTATTTGGATTTGGACTCTTAAAGTGGATAAGACTTATCCTCTTATCCTAATGGCTGATCCAGACCCTTATCCAAACCCATATTTGCCCAAGTCACATGATTGCTTAAGCTATCATGTGACAACTTGATTAATCCAATTAATCTTGGGTTTTGGGCCCATTAAGCAAGTGGCTCACGTCCCTAGGTAGTTGCTGGTCCATTTGGTTCACTTTGTATGGCGTGGGACCCCAACAATGACCCTACATAAGCCCATATGGGTTCGGCTCAGCCTCTGTGAAAAGGCTTGGCCAAATTCACTGTCAAGCACAATTAACCCCTGAGTCCATCAGTATGGGCTCTTAATGGGCCCAACACTTACATTAAATGATCCTCAAGTCCAGCCATCCTATGAAGGCCTATGGATAATGGACTTAAGTAAGATATAGCCCATCAGGTAAATAGCCCTAAATGGTCTCTTACACTTAACCTCTCAGCCCATAATGATCAAACACTGCCCGACAAGAAAGAACCTCTCCCCTGGCTTGCTGCAAGGTGTAGTGTCGCACTCTCTCTCGGACGGGTCCCGAGAATTAAAACCTTTTGCAAACCTTTTTCTTAAAACATAATATATATGTTATCATATAAATATATTTTTGCAAAACAAATCTCAAACATAGTTGAAATCGACTGCCGGCAGTTTTGGTTTCCATTAGAGAGAGTGTAGTCCCGATCATTCACTTTGTCCGAAAAAGGGGCTGATCTTGTTACTATGATCATCCACTTGAGTGAATTCTCAGACTGCCCCAACATACCCAGGTTTTGACTCCCAAAGGATCTCACTGATTGGCATATCAAAGACAGCCCAATCTGACACGCAGTGCAATATCATAATCGAGTCTAGGGGTTATGTGTAACTTTTCAGTTTTGCCCACTAGTCTCCAAGGTCCAGGGCGTAATTGGAAATTGGTCTAGGTTCAAAAAAATAAGAGCTGAAATATTGGCTGTTCTGGAGGGGGTAAAAAGAACCCAGAAGCTGAATATCAGAAAACTGATGGTGGAAGGTGATTCCAAGCTGGCTATCAGTTGGCTATAGAAGGATGATTTCAGTTTTTGGAAGCATCTAAATGAGAAAAAGAAAGTTAAAACAGTTTACTCAAAACATGGAAATCAAGTTTTAGTGGACCAAGAGGAGTGCTAGTTCCTTGGCAGATTCACCGGCCAAACAAGGGGTGGGAAGAGTCAATCTATTTTGGGCAATATTGTAAATTTAAATGTACCTTTAGGGAGGGTTAAGAGATTTTACCCCTCTTGTATCTTTTTCTCTTAATATCCATTAATGAAAGTTTCTGTTAATTATCAAAAAAAAGAAAAAAATCATACCAATCACTTAAAGGTGTCATCAACCTATAAGAAAGAACAGTGGTTGGTATGGCTATACAAGTCAAATTAATTTGTCATGAATTTGGATATGGGCTTAGGCTTGGTGTAGATAATTGACTTTGGATAGAAACTTTTGCTGGACTGCTGACAGATATGGAATACCAAATAAAGGTCCGATTTGCTTGTTTAAGGACTGGTTCATAAGACTGAACCTACAATTTTTGGAGTTAAATGTTGCTATCTTCCTACATTAATACATGTGCAATATGCAGAGGTTAAGGGGGCTAAATTATGTTCAGACAAATATTAGTCCATTTTAACCCCTCACTAACATCTCGTCCATGTTAATGTTTGTTATTCTGTTTCTTGTTTTGCTCCCTTTTAGTCTTCATTTTCTTTGTTGTATTGAACTTCTATATTTCTTAGCGATTCCTTTTCAAATGTTTTTTTCTCAGGGAATTTTGGTTAGCTCTTGTTCTAAATGTTTTGTGTAAGCAGGAAGGACCAACCATAATGTAATTATTGATTCTCTTAAATCCTTATGGTAAAAATATTTAAAAATAACTATTTCTTGCAGAAGTATAGAAGATGTTTCAGAGCCTGCCGAAATTTCAAGCAAAGATCATAATAGTGGTGAAAGTCCTTCCAGGGGAAAAATGAAAAGAGATGCCTCTGATATGGAAGTAGTAAGAAACTTGTGCCTCTATCATTTTCTTTGGTAAATGAGAACAAATGGGGATTCTAGCAATTAAGTTGCAACTCCTTGAAAACATTGCCCTGCAGACATGGTGGGACCCATGAAGAACATCTTCAATTTTGTCTTGTAGTTTGATATCTTGGGCTCACCATGTCTGGGACGTTGCTTTCAGGGAGTTGCATTTGGTGTTGCTTGCTGTCATTTCTTTGGTGTTAAATCTTTCTGTAAATAGGCACTTCATCTACAGTCTGTTGTTGTTAATATGTTACTGTAAATCGACACATTATTTAAAGTCTATTTTCTTTAATATCATACTAACCATCAACTTTAATCATTAATCATTTGAACTGTGCATGATCTTAATGGATTTTTGTTCTTTGAAGCTTCAGGAGGAATCTAAGAAAGAGTTATCAGAAACAGATGCTGTCGATATGAGCAGGCCTGATCAGGATCACAATGCAAACGGTAATTTTGTTCCAGAAAGTTTAGATAATCAAGAAGCTGATACTCTCTCATATCAAGATCCCACTTTAGCTTTCCATGACAAGCAATCCATGCAAACTAGTTCTGGTAGGCTGTCTTATACCAGAGGTGAGGTTCCTAACCAGGGGCAATCACCAGAATTGTCAAAAATGGCCGATCAGGATGATCTAGTGATGAATGGTAAGATGGCTTCTCCAGAGTTGAAAAGGGAAAACTTCATGAATGGAGAACATGAAGGAAAAGGTGGTCCTGCTGTTGGTGATATTGATTTATTTGGCCCTGGACTAAGGAATGATGAGAACGGTCCTCAGAAGGTAAATCTCTTTAACTCTCTTTTGGAATCTAAAATACAAGTGTATCAAGCAACAGTTATAGTGATAAAGTTTAGACAATGTACAGCAAGGAGCTTTACTATGAGAACTCAAAATAGGCACAATGAGGAAGGAAATGATAAGCTGGTTTCTACAGCTTGCAACTTAAGCAGTGCGTGGTTTTAAGTAATGGCAAACTTATAAAGTTATAGTAAGTTGATTCAACATCAAACATTTTCCATGTAAAGCCGTTCAAAACATAATACGACCTTGGATGGGACCTAGGGTTCCCTCATCTGGCTACTAGGGAAATCTTTGGGATGGCAATTTCCACCCTACCTGGTGGGTACCCTCCCTGATGGGGCTTCTTTTTGTTTGATGATTGGATTTTGGGGTGGGGACAGGTTTTGGGATTTTAAACCTGTATGGGTACAGGTAGGGTATGGTATTAGGCTAAACCCAACACTCTTTGACAGTCTGACCTGCACATTGAATTTGCTAAAATACCCCTAGTGCTTATTATAAAATTATAGTTTAAGGCATATAAACTTAGGTGTTATCTGTTGAATTTAATAATGCTTTGAACCTTATGTAAAGGATAATTAATAATTTATGTGTTTTCTACATGTTTCAATCAAATAATTGGAAACTTTGATGTTTGTTCATGTAAATTCCCTTGTTTATTGCTTATATATAGCAGAAAGTAGCAGGAAATTAGATATGGGTTCTAGACCTAACCTGCCCCACCTCAAATGTGGGGAGGGTGGGGTCAGGGAGGGTTTTGCATTTACATGTGTGGGTGAAAGAATGGTAGGATCCGTCTAATGGACGCCATAAAGGTTGCGGAATGGGTGGGGTGAATTTCAAAAATTTCCTACCTTCTCCCAACTGGGAATCATGTTCCCTGAATTTAGAATACAATATTCAAGGATCTACTTGAACCCTAATCAAACCAGATCTGTACCAAAAGATAAATGGGAGGATTATACCTGATCCGGAGAAGCAGTATCTCCCAAA